AACTTTTAAATAATTATTAACGGTTAATTTCAACTGTTATTTAGCCGGATAACTTTAATAATTATTTCTTAAAAATTGTGTGCAAATTTCTTTACAATTGTGGTCTTTTATCAAATTTGTACTATACAAATTAGTTCGCAAATTTCACACAAAATTTTGCTAAATACTTTTTTATGACAAAACAGACTTAAGTCATTTTGGCTTTTTTTTTATCTTTATCGTATCGAAATAAAAAAAATTTTCATTGCTATAGTTCGATTTATATATTTTGCAAGAGTTTGATGTGAGTAATTGATAATTAATCTTTGGGGTTGGCATCGCCAAAATTTATAAAAAAAAAATATTATCGTTAAAATTTACGTAAATGCATGCCTTTGCAAAAAAATTTCTATGTAATTCATTATTATTTACACACATTAATCCAATTGGTATCTCAACATTTATAAGATTTTTAATTATTCTGTTTTGGGATGTGTTTTGAGAAGATAATGCAAATCAGTTAGTCATCATTTTTCTATCATACAATTCTAATTATTGTTTAGAATTTTTTTCGCTATAAACTATTTTTTTTCGTATAAATTTAATGAAATTATTTTTTTTACTATACTTAATTTTTTGCTGTATTTCATCATTACAAGCCACCAATCAAGAGTTTATCAAGAGTCTAAGTTATTATATTATTATTGGTCACTATATATTTAGAAAGGTCATTATGGTATTTAACTAATCTCAAACTTTCTCAAAAGTGCTCTCAAAATTACTTTCATAAACTAAAACTTATTTTATTACTTTATAGTAATATCATCAAAATGGAAAAGTCATTTAATTGTTTACTTCTAAGAAATACTAACAACTCTTCCCTTTTTCCGGTTGCTTTTTTCGAAGACAAAGATGAATGATTCGTAATATTTGGTCAACAAATAATTAATTTAAACATATTAACAGTTGTTCTCTCAAGGATTATATCTGCGAGAAGAAAAAAGTTGATAAATCTGATGATTTGAAATTTTGAAAAGTTAATTTCGATGAAGAAAAGATTAAAGATAAAAATGCATTAACTGAAGATGGTATTGTAAAAGACTTACCGGAAATGAAATGAAACCTTAAAAACTATTTATTGAATATTTTCAAGCTGAATTAGATAATCAAGTAAAATTTACAGTGAGTAACATTCACATAATTACTAACACTGGTAAGTAATTTACCTCTCAAATAAAATTTGCATTTATTATATATAGATTTTTGGCCTGATGTCATTTATTTTTAAAAGCACAAAAGCTGCCAGATCAATTAAATTTTCGTAATCCTTATCCTCTTCTCATAGGTAGTGGTTCCATTTGGACTTAAAGCCTCAATTGCTTTGAGAAAAAAACTTAAGGAAGCAATTTATGATCATTACAAGTTTTGGAAAGCTGGACAACGTGAAAAACAAAAATACCAGAATATTTCATTTTAGCAATAATTGCCAAGGTTATTAATTGAATGTGCTGATAGCCTTAAAGATGCTCTTGTATTTAATTTATCGTTTGATAAGGGACCAAACTAATTCGTGGAGACGAGATTATGAGTCTAAAGCAATTTGTAATCGAATATTCTTTCAATTACTGAAACAGCCTAATGATTCTTGGAATGGTTTTAAGATTAGATATAATGTAACACTAGAAGATGTATTGCGTAGAATTGCCAAATATCGTACTCAAGAAGTTAAGGATCTGAATGTAATTATTATTCTGGATGGTTTACAAGTAGCAATGGATGATACTAAAGATGGAAAAAACAAAAGCAAAAATTATTTATTTTACGATTGCATCTCCATACTTTGCATTCTTTCATTTACTGATCCATTTGTTATTGTCTGTTGTACGGTCACCATTAGTATACCTATTCATGGTTTCCTTGCCAGTTCACAACAAAAAAGAGTTTTTCTACCAGTTACATCATTACAACCCCCGAAAATAAATAACATCCCAGTTTTTAATGATAGTTCAACAATGAATATGTTTATAGATGACATGGGAGGTCATGGACATGCATTAGAGGCTTTGGGAGAAGCAGTTGTAGATAAAGATATGATCAAAGTCAATTATATTGATCTAATAAACAATGTGCGATTGAATCTTAAATATAATTATTCAGGTTTGTTGACTAAAACAGCTTATTTAAAACCTATCCTCCGCATTATTCTGGAACATACATCTGTTAACAAAGACTAAACCGTCTTTGAACTTGATGGACAAAAAATAAATGTAGATGACGTAATAACGTATGGACTAGTCCGATTTGAGAGTTCCGATCCTGACCGTGTTGTTGGTTATCTATCATGTCCGTACATTTGGCTATGGATTATGGCTCATGCATACCACGAAAATATAAATGATCCATTGTTAAGGAGTTGGGATTTTGCCTATACAATGAAGTACTTAGTGATCGGGAGAGCCTAATATTCCACCTGGTTGCCAATACTGGCAACAACATTTTGAGCATTTTGTCGCTCAATTTCGCTCTCTAAAATCGAATATCTATAATTATGATAATCGAGTTGATCTTAGTGTCATTCATAATGGTGCCACTCATAACTTTGGCCAAGTTTCCATATCGAATCGACAACTTACATTATCAAAATCAGTTGAAAGAAGTCTAAAGATTATAGGAATCAAAATGAAATATACTGTGTCAGAAAGGACGAGTCGATCTTACAAATGCGAGTCATATTATAATCAATGCATCTGCTGCTAAGTTTGGAGATAGCTTTTGTTCAATATATATGGCAGAGACTAAACAATTACAAACGGAGGCACATTAGTAGCAAATTATTGAGAGAACAAAGCATTTCTCAGAAAATTTTTGAAGAAGAATATAACAACGCAACTAGTTCAGGAGATATTTTCATCTTTTACACCTCAGCATCCTGCCAGAAACTTGAACTCCAACCAATGTCTGCAATCGTTAATAAAGAAAACTGGAAAGAATATTTCGGCACTTTTGCTGGAAGATGTTATAATTATGTCATGGGGCCACCAGTTATTAATAAAGCGACCTTCACTCAGCTGTCTGAAATTGAGAAGATTGCAAAAAACGTGCTAGAATTATCATGGAAGAACGAGATCTTGTTGAATTTTTTGATATTGATGATAGTGAAGTAGAACAAAAATTCCGCGTCAATATATTGAGCCTTTTTTTCAAAAGGTAAAGCATTTTTATGTTGATTAATATTGTTATATTATATGTGGGAACTTTCCATTTTATCTTCTTGAGAAATATCAATAATCATTAGATTCGGTAAATATATCTAATATGCATAGAAAAACTTTAAAACCTTAGCTATTATATATGAAAATGAAATTGTGTGATTTGATTTTTATAACTAATTTTATTTTATTAATAAAGCATTATGACTACGCTAATATAATAGTATGAATGGAAATAACATTTTTTTTTACTTTCGATATACCATACGTTATTATTAATGAGATAAATCGTAGCGGCGAGAAGCATTAATATGTAAGCGGAATTGCTTAAACAAATAAATTTTATAGGAATGAATTATGCGTGTGGAAATTGGATAATTTATTTTGAGAATAGCGAAAAAATGAAATTTAGAGATTGGACATATGGGCATTTTGTAGTAGTATAAAATTTACGCGACTTTGGCCCGCATTTACGGCATTAAGAAATTAAACTTAGAATTTTTGGGGTGCGAAATAATATTTGTCACTTATTATTCGTCACATGATTAATTTCTAAATGCTGTGATGCCGACCAAATTCACGTGCGAGTGGAATTTTTTGTGGTAAAAATAAAAATAATTTAAGTCCAGATTTAAACATTAAAAAGAATCCTATCTTCATAAAATAATCTTCGCATTGTCTTAAATTTGAAGGAACGAATGGGTCAGCCATTTCTTTTAATTATAATAATCATTATTATTTGGGTTCATTTTGAGCTTGAAGTACGATATAGGATCGATTCAAAAAAGTGGAACCGATTAATTGAATTAATAATTTCTCGATTTTCGGTTTTGATTAATTGATTCTACTTAGCGATTTTTTATGATCACTAATTGAACGTCAAAAATATTTTATTAATAAAGATTTATTTACCATAATAAAATTTTTTTGGATTTTCTACAAGATCATGTAATTTCTAATAAGGGGAGGACCAGAAATGATGTCATTTGATTTTTTGAAATTTTCCTCCCCCCCCCCTGCCATAAAATCAAATAAGGAAATAACTCAATCACGTGATAACAATTTAACTTTGATCATAAAATTAAAAGTTTAATTTATTAGACTTAAATCTTGAAACCTTTTATTTAAAATTTAAATCAAACAATTTTATCATTACATATCACTAAAAGTTAATTTGAAATAT